AACGACATGTTCAGCGGTTGACCGGTTCTGATTGCATCGATCATCTCTGTATATCCATTACGTTCTGAGGCTTCTTTCAGCCACTGCTCCCAGTCTTCGTCGAGGGAAACGTCGGCTCCCTGTTGTCTGGCTTCTGCTGCCTGTATCAAACGTCGGTTTAACGTAACGCCATAGCTTTCCATTTCAGCGCCATCGTCACTTGTTTCTGACTCGTCTTCCTCCTCACTTTGTAGCTCTGATATGATCTCCAACTCTGGGAATTCGCATTCAACTGCTGGTTCTCGAGCATGCTGATTTCGAGGGCTCTCCTCTTCGTATGAATGAATATACACAGATGGCGGTATTGGCGGGGTCGCGGCCCTAATGTCGTCTGCTGTAGTATCTCTCACTTGGACCGCCTCATCCCGTTCGTAGCGATCTCTGGCGGACTTTGTACCCTCCCAACGGCAAAGAGAAGCGATTTCAGCTTCCGTCAACCCTAGTTCATCAAACGCTTTGAACAATTTCCGATGCCATGTGAAACGACCCAACCGCATTCGGTGTGGCGGATATGAATAATCGAGCCCCGGATATTGAGCTTCAATGCAGTCGAGAGTGCCATAGAAAGTCGACGTTTCGATACGAACCTCGGGAACCAGATGCCGGGTGATGAGGGACGCAAATGACGAGGGTTCGTTCGTGCGAGGTTTCGGGAAGATCGCGTTGTACACAAGTTGAGACAGCGAAGGCTTATGCATGGTGGGTGAACAGGTGTTCGATGTTGTCGAGTTTCAAAGAAAGGAAAGGCAAAGGCGAGGTAGAAATAAAGGGGATAAAATTTAAGCTCTGATGAGTCTCGGAGTATTTAAGATGGTGTGAGGTTAATTTTCTCGAAGTTAACCTTATCGATTATAGGACGCGTGGAAGTAACTTAGGTTTGGAGTAAAAGAATGTGGATAGATCTAGAAGTTCACGTAAGTTTCCGGCTACAATCAATTCTTCCACATTGCTATTCATTCACATCATCGAGGAAATTCCTAGCTCAGGTGACGATATAATGATATGTAGAAAGGGAGCTGGCGGCCGCAGCACCAATAACTGAAACGAAAAGCTTCTGATATTGTTCCGCCGTTCCTACAATTCCCGTCTCGGCCAATTTCTGTTCCGTATCTCCCCTTTACCAGGAACTTGGGTATATCTTTTTCAGTCTCCAGCTTCTTATGAGGTTTTATTTCGGGTATCTCAGTAAACGGAGTATCACGAGTTGATAAAGCTCAAGGGTTGTTTCGTGAGTCAGGTTGCGTTGAAGATCACGCCAGACACTCTGCGACTAGCGACGGGAGGGTTGAATGATCAAGTTATTTTAATCACTTCGTTTATTTTGATGGTCAAAGAGGTATATCACTTCCAGAATTGGCGCCTGCGAATACTGCACCCGCGAAATTTCGAGGTCCTGGCGTATGAGATAAAGATGGCAATCTTGGAGGTTCGAACTGTGCCCGGATTTTGAGGCAACTTTGGGGTGTTCTCGTTTTCGGACTGTTCCTGGAGATTGGCTGGATATAAAGCCGGGTTTCGTGGGTCTGCAGGAGGTAAATAACAGTGGAGGCTTGGTGGTCGCAGTCAAGACGTGGTTAGAGTTGCTGGTGGAGAGTTTGCCGATTTGGGAGCCCCAACCTGCGTTGCTATTTAAATATTCGCAAAACAAGACCAAAACTTAGGTTGCTCTGTGGGGATGATTCCAATTCCAAGCACATCACACCCAACGGTCGAGCAACCCTGTGAGACAGGCCCTTCAAGGAACACAGTTAACCGGAGTGAAATTGATTTTCGGGGCTGATTTATATATAGAGCCGTGCTGGCTAGTCTCTCTTCAGCGATATGTGAATCATAGCTCCCTCAAAGGCCTAGGGACGAAGGTACCGATAGCTAACTAATCACACCTGAATGAAAGATTGGCCAGCAGTGATTCTAGCTGAGAAAAGTTCCTGGCCCAGGAACCCGTGAACTTCGAAGTCTCACGCTGAACCTGACGAGAGAATCGGATGGACTGGGTTATTATTTAACCACCTGAGTATTTAACTATATGCAGAACAGACGGCAGCATGGTGTTGGCAGCTACATGCAGAGTTGGGCTCAACCTATCGGAGCCTGGCTGGTGCTGCTGCATATCTAAGCATTCAGGTCACAGCACATGTTCGCAAGAATGTCTGGCCGCGGGTTTCCTTCTTTATATTTTCGCACCAGCATCGGAGAAATTTCAGAGGCTCCAGCTCATCGTTCCGTATCCAATCATTCTTGTGGCGGGCTCCCTTGCATTCCCTGATCCTGGCTGAACATGAAAGCAGCCGACATGCCACCCAGCCTGGGCAAGGTAGTGGATAAGCCTTGTCAAGCAACTTTATGGCTGTGACGCTCTTCAGGACCTTTCTATGGAGTTCAACTTTGCATAAAACATCTCCCTCAAAGCATAATGGGGCGACGTATGATGGCCAATCTAAGAGAATATTATCCACCTCTATCGTGTCCGAATCATTTGAAGGTCAGATTGTGTTGGCCCGCCTAGATGGAGAGCCCGCCGGTTGATGCGTTCGATCATGCAACAATCCTGCAACATACCCATTTCTGTGCGTACTTGGATTTGTTTCTCCAATAACAAGTGGTCACGTCTTTATTAATGCTACTCCAGAACTTTCACTTATTGTACGTTAAATATTATAGTCTCCCTTGCTCCCCTCACCATAGGAGTAAAAAGGGGTATCCATTCATCTTCGCTTGGATGACAAAGTATATTAACTTCATGATTGGTTAACTACAGCAGATTTCCAGCTTAGTGGCAATGTATGGTCAAAATTCTTTCGTCCTACAACGACCCGGTAGGTGTCCTCTTAAGCTGCTCTATTCGATTTCCGCCTTCCATGCATTCTTATTATTAATGCACCCAGCCTCGAGAGCGGAGAGCACAGTGGAGCACTTGGGAAATCCCTTATTATTGTCCGATAATCTCCTTTTGATACCCTTGGAAACCAATATTTAAATATCACTGGCGTACGTCATCTCCACGTGGGATAAATTATGCCCTTTCATTGCTATTGGTAGCGGAACAACGGCATTACAGAGAGAAACGACTTACCCAGAATTAGCACCACCTTTGGATTCGTTTGAGTCAGTCTCGGACAGCCTATTGTGGTCCTAGGCTTCTTGAATACGTTGTTGCTTATGTTGTTGCCTATAACTATGCTTTACCTATTCTGAGAGGAAATTTCATATATTTCCGGTGAACTATTCCGAGCCCTTTTGGTGTTGCATGAAACTCCCTTTTGAAGAGAGCAGTGATGAGCAGTTTGAGGAGCTCAGGCAAGAACTTAGAAATGCCAAAGCTGGTTCCATCTCTCCAAGACCAGTAACTACTGGAAGCCGATGAAAAAGAAGTCTCTCATATGTTGCTTTGGCCATCGCCTTTGCATTTCAATTGGCATTTTCCCTGTCATTAAATTTGGCTGTGTTCCTCTGAAGCACCCGGGGCCATGGTGAGGCGCATCCATTTTATGAAGGAATCGATATGGCTGCCACCTGGGGCAGTATTCCCCACTTAGTTTCTGCAAGAAAGTAAGATGTTAAACAGAAAAAGCAACGTATTTGAGCTAAATAGGGCATCTTTGCTCTTAGTTTCATTAATATTACACACTTCTTTACGTCTGTTGGAAGAGGTTAAACCCATTATTCTCCCCCCTCCCACATATACCAGTAGTTCTAACCACAATAGGTATTCATGTTTTGGTCGTAGGTTGTGAATCAATCTGCACACTGTAGTGTAGTAGGTTTATGTCTTTCGGTCTGCAGTGGATGATATGTAGCCAGTTTGACAAAGTGTTTGCAGTTAGATGCATAGGCCGCCATCCTATCTCCTGCGAGAACATTTATGGGGACCGTAGTGTCATCACCATCTTGTCCGTGGTAAATGTACACTGGGTTTGACTGATTCGGAGATAGTATCCACAGGCAAATCTAGCATCTCCCCAGGTACCCACAAACACAGCAGCACTACAAAAGTGGACTGCAAATACGAACCGTTAAGTCTCCACCTAACAACTTCACCAGCCCCCTTGTTGCCAGAAAATGTCAGCCAACCTAGATCGTTAGATATGCCTACATGAACAGGCACCAACAGAATTCGCATTTCATTTCACCCTCACTCGATTCAACTAAGGCAGCGCTGCAAGGACCTCCCGCTTATTAGAAGCAGATTCCAAGAGGGGATGATCCCCCTTAAGGTTAAGAATTGGTGGACATCACCAAGAGTATTTTGAACTTTGATGACAGTACATAGAAATTACCCCAAATAAAAATGTCCTTCAGTCGAAAACCCTCTTTTTCTAACAACTTAGTGTGTTTTGGTTATTCTCTGGCTTCATAGTACGGAGCCCTTGAACTGCGGATGTGGTGTCGATATACAAATCACGTGACTATGATTCCGCTCGAGAATGTGCTCTAGATAGACATTATCTGTCACTCGTATTAAGTGGTGAATGCAAAGGCGCTCTCTAGCATTCCATCATCTGAATATTGACAGCTGCATGAGAGCTTTTTCAAAGCCTCTTCACAGCTGCCAAAGTGCCTAGTGACGATGTCAACCTTCGATGGCATTGTTGGAAGGTTAGCAAAAGCCCCTGAGAGAAAATAAAATAGCTGAATAGATATCCAACATCACTTCAATCTTAGCTAACGCGGGAAGCAGAGTTTCCACAAATTCGAAGTAAAAAAAATCCAGATTTTTTTTTTCCTTTTCTGGCCCATTGACCAAATTGATATATTGACCCGTACCGCTTCAATTGAGCAGTCGATTATTTTCGAAAGAACCCCAAAGGACCGGCTCCGCTGGCCTGCTTTCTGAGCCATGTGCACAGCGACCACCTTCAAGGCTTAGAATCTTTGAGAGCACCTTTTATTTATTGCTCTGCTGCTACACGAGAGGTAAGGTAACCTTCTTCCCTTCTATAAAAGAATGTAAATAACCAACCATGAAATTAGATCCTCCTCCGGCTGGAGAAGCGCCCCCATCGCATAAATTTCAGCAAGGGGATACTGGAGTCGAGGAGGCAGCATTACAAGCATCTCTCCAGATTATTGGTGCGATCCTGATATCTACGCCATGGCCACCACGAAATTATCCATGCATTAACATATGTTTTAACCAGCGCCCAATCCCACTTCAAGTTCCAACAGAGATAGAGCTGAGCCCAAGAAACCATGTTCGAGTCACTCTGTTCGATGCCAACCATTGCCCTGGTGCGGTCATGTTTCTTATAGAGGGAAACGGCAAAACCATTCTCTATACCGGCGATATTCGGGGTAAGTGCTACTTTTAGCGTTTTTATATGTGCTCTCTCTATTACGACATTGCTATGATGGGATCTAAATTCATTTAATTCTTGATCTAATTTGCTAGTCGCTCTCTGTAACAATTGACCATACTAATTATATTCCATATAACATAGCGGAATCCTGGTGGGTGGGCAATCTTATTCGGAATCCAGTCCTTATTCCATACACCCTTGGAGATAAGCGATTTGATAAGATCTATCTAGACACCACCTTTGCTACGAAATCTGATGTATACCAGTCGTTCCCCTCTAAAGCTGAAGGAATTAGAGAGCTCTTAGAAAAGATCAACGCCTACCCAGAGGATACAATTTTTTATCTGCGAGTATGGACGTTTGGTTATGAAGATGTCTGGTTAGCCTTGTCATCGGCGCTAAACACCAAGGTAGAGCGAAAATCTTCATCTTTAATCACCAAAGGCAAAAGCTAACAAGCTGCATCAGATCCATGTCGATCAATATCAAATTGGGTTGTATAAATCCCTCGCGCCACGGGCCACAAATGGTTTTGGAGTTGACAACACGGCATTCCTTTGTGGATTCACCCTGGGCAATGCGCATGCCCCCGGTTGCTTAACTCACGATCATAAATCTCGAATCCATAGTTGCGAGCCTGATATGCACTGCTCGACGATCTCCAAAGGCCCCTCCGTATATATCACTCCCATTGTGTCACGTATGAGCGATGGTTCTGAGATCCCCGAGCTTGGAGCTGGTGGGGGCCAGGGCGACCTTTACCAAAGCCATGAGCTCGATTTATCGGATGGCGTTGTATTCCAGCAGCTTTCAAATATATGCTTTGAGCGTATCAAGGATGAGAAAACTCGTGCGTTGGCACTATGTGCTTTGTCAGATGCGCATCAATCGAAATCAAAATCGCTATCTCTTGATGCTTATGGCATAAAGAATGTTGGCGAAATTTCTGTCCAGGAGCTCGTGGGCATTCTAAGCCGAGGGTCGCCAAAGGCCAATCTATCGGATCTGTCAGACATCCCCAAACCCAAGATACCCCTAAACATACGGGGCAAATTCGGACGTCCACTCCCGAACACAATTGTGAGAATTTACCTGATTTCATACATTTTTGGATTATTTTGGCTTCTCTTGTTTAGCATGAGGGTGCTTTGAACTAATACATGAACAGCGTTTCCCCTATTCGCGCCACTCTTCGTACGACGAACTCTGCAATTTCATCAGGGCATTCAAACCAAAAGACATCATGTCGTGCACCGCAGATGTTGCAACTTGGGACGAGGACGTATCCATGCGAACTCTATTTGGTCATTTGTGTTCTGGCACTGATTTTACCCACGACAAGCTGATGAGGGAGTATGTCCAGCGAGACTCGCGCCGGTCCCGAAAACGGATGCGACTGGAATCTAATTCTTCATCACAACACCATTCAACCCAGCAAACAGATTCATATATCGAAGCAAACGAGCTTCCTCCCATTACCCCATCAACAGCCATTGAGGCCCGCGAGTCAGATTCCAATTCACCTCCGCTGCGAGAAATGCAAACTAAACACAACAATGCTCTCCCTGAAATATCAGCCGCTGCATTCCAGGAAACATCGCAGGATATAAGCCAAGACACAACCGATGGTGCTGACACGCAGTCTTCCACAAACTCCCAAATCCTCGCCATAAAACTAGCATTGAAAGAAAAACACCTAAACCGGGAACTGGATTTTCATGCGGAATCTTCATTCCCAGATCTAGATAACGAGGATGACAATACCTCACAAGAAACCTCTCAATCCTAGTGCGTTTCCCAGTACCAATCCCAGTTCCCCCTCCCCCCCCCCCCCCC